GAAGGTTGAAATGACATTATTAAAATTGTAAATCAAGCAAATACCAGAAAAGTGATATTAAACCTTTTTTTGTCACTTCGAAAATTAGGTGGCGAGGTTGCTCCGAGGTCAGGGAACTGATCCATGACCGCTAAAAGCCTGGGTTGGAATCCAGACGCTGCTGCCTGTGATTCAACAGAAGTTTTAAATTGAGCGAGTCCATGGTCTAGGTGCAACTAGCTGTTATTGACGGCAGAAAAAAAATCCATCATGTTCAACAATTTTGGGGAGAAGGGAGGAGGGGGGCTCACTGAATTTGACAACATTCCAGGATCTTGAGACAAAAAAAGTGTTTGGCTTGATTGACATGTGACAAACTCTCGTTGCAGAGCATGTTAAAATTGTGTTACTGCTGAGAACAAACAGGTCTCTTGAAGTGACTTCAGAAATAATTCTGCAATGTCACCTTCCCAGACTTTCTCTCACGCGGGGTGATTCACTGCGAGCTCCGAGAATTCCAAACGAATATTTTTGTTACCTTGTCACGTGATGCCAATAAAATCAAATGCAATTTATTCGGGGGATACATGTAACAAAAGGAATTGCTAAGGAAAAGAAAATGATACAATGAAGTGCACATGAAGAATGTGCGGGTTCTTATATCCTTTCCATTACCACGAATTAGCATTTTAACAGTCAATTTTCTTTTATTCGTGAACAAGTTACGTGACAAAAGGCAACCACTATCCTCTGGGCGACAGAGGGAAAGTGGTTTGGAAAAGTGGGTTGTGCAAAGCGTGGATTCCGGTTGTCCTCGTCTATTAACCGCGTCACGTGGTGTCAATCACGCGTGGACACGTTAAGGACGACGACGATGCACGCCTACATCTTGCAGATTTGTCGGCTTACGAAGAGATGGAGCCCCCGTGCACCATGCAACCATGCGCCGCCTTCCAGTATCTGCAGAGGCGGTGGCGCGAGGATGCGATGCCTCTGCAATCATCTCATCTCTGCACCCACTCTGCCGCACAGTGGGGAGTACCCAAGCGCGCCCGCCTCTCCATCACATCGCAGCGAACAGACAGCCAGGCGAGCAGGCACACGTGAAGATAGACGGGCAGACATGTGCACAGCAAGACAGAGACGGTCAGACAAACGGGCAGATCAAGTGGCCAGAAAGACAACGCAGGCAGGGGGACAAAGAAAATGCAGGCAGGTACACAGGCAGACAGGCAAGGAAGCAGGCAGGGAGGCAGGTGGACAGAGAGACAAACATACAGGCAGGCAGGCAAGCAGGCAAACAGAGGCGTAGACAAGAAGACAGCCTGAGAAGCAGGCAGCCAGACAGGGATACAGATAGGCAGGTAGACAAACAGGAAGACGGACAAGACAGTCTGCACAGAGGGCCACAATCACATCCGTGCTCGTGGCACCCGGAGGCTGACACAGACAGAGGGAAGATGCCCCCCTCTCACCGCGGGCCCCCTAGGCTAGCAGCACCCCCCACCCCACACGCCACACGCCACGCGCACGGAGAAGCCTTATTACCCTCCCCCCATCACCACCCCCGTCTCCCCCGAGAGAAAGAGAGAGCTGACTCCTTGCGCATGTATACACGTTTACTACATACATATCACTGACTGCGCATGCATACGTAATCAGCTCATTATCCACAGAGACAAAGATCGCCCGTGTAGACTTCAACAGACTGTTGGGGCGAGCGCTGTTCGCGAGCACCTATGAAGGCCGGAACGGTACACGAGGGGGTGGGTGGCCAACACCACGCCCGGCCACCTTTGTCTCCCCAGTGGCGATGTTTACACATCGCACCAGGTATTCATGTCAGGTTAAGTCGACCTAGGGGAGGCCCAGGACCGGTGTAGATATCGGGCACTGGCTTTGTTGGCCCTGAGCGGGGATCGAACTGGGGAAGCCGGCTTCGTGACCACTACACTACCGCTCCCCCCACACACAGACAGACACACGCTGACACGCACAGACACACGCAGACACACGATAGCTGAAATGTGAGAGACGTGAGCAATATTGCACAGCATACTTGGAATGCTGTGTTTCGTGATGGCAATTCATCACCATGAATACGTTCATTTATACCAGACCGTTGTGTCTACTTGTGTCCCTTATAGGATAAAGGTTTCCGTGTGTCAATAGAGCTATGCACTCACTCCCTGTGCACAGCCGATGGATTGTACAGGCTGCCATGTATTAAAGATAAATTCAGGCACGCCACGTACAAATAGTATAAACACATGCATGCATGTAAGGTACTCTATACACACGGATACCTAACATACATGCAACGTTTAATAGACAAATGCATGCACGTAGGGCAATGTATAACACAGGAATAGCAAAAGGCACGGCTTAAGCTATTGATTTGTATACGCTCACGAACAGCATACATTGTACAATCATACAATACAATCACTATCCTGAAGCACGCACAACTAGCGGCCAGTCATACACACACACCTGGATTCATACATAATACTGTGATGCTTTCACTTAAAATGACTACAGTATGTAATTTTTTTCCCCCTGAAGGAAATGTACCACTTAATTAATAACCTACTGGTGTTTGTAAATTATGCTAATTCCCAGTTTTCTATAGAGTACGTGGTGCTATGAATATTGATATAGTTTGCTTGGTATAAGACCCAATCACATTTCTCCATTCAAACCACACAGTGCATTGCATACATAGGGAATGCAAATAGTCCATCAGTCTGATAGCGGTGATGATAAAGGGCATCATTATGATTCAGTACGTATCGACTGATATGTGCTACTTTCTATACAGACAAAAATCCCTCATATAGCGTTCAACAGACTGTTGGGGCAAGTGCCGTTAGCGAGTACCTATGAAGGCCGGCACGGCACACGAGGGGGAGGGTAGCCAACACCACGCCCGGCCGCCTTTGTCTCCCGAGTGGCGATGTTTACACACCGCATGCGGCACTCATTTGAGGTTGAGTCGACCAAGAGGAGGCCCAGGACCCGTTCAGACAATCGTTACTGGTGTTGGCCGTGAGCGGAAATCGAACTCCAGTCACCGGATTCGTAGCGCAGCGCGCTAACCACTACACCACCGCTACACCCATAGCACGCACACACGACACCACACGCCGACACACACACACGCGTATACCGTTTCAGTCAATGCATCGCTTCGCCTATGCTGCAAATGAACAAGCCACTGCATACACAGACACGCACAGACCTTGTGTCAATCCACTGCTGGATGAGGGCCTCCCCGCGCTACGCGAGTCAAGGTGGCGGAGGAGTGGGGGGGGGGGGAGGTTATTTGAGCATACTTCACCACGCTGGTCCAGTACAGGTTGGTGACGGCGAGGAGGAGCATAGCAGTACAGCACAACAATGGGTTATACTGCATTGCTCTCCGATGTCCACCACGTTGCCCAGCAGCTGTCTTTGACAACCCGGGCATGGACATGGGTAGCCCATCCAAGCGCAGTCCAGGCTCCAGCCCTGCTTGGCTTTCAAGATCCTGACCATCCGGTCGCACCCCCCCCCCCGCCATGTGATTTGGGTCATAGGTGGAAGCTAAGCACGGCTAAGCCTGGATAGCGCTTGGATGGGCAACCGCGAGGGATAACACTGGCGCTGTCAGTCGGCTTCTGCGGAGCGACGTTGTCAGCAGAGGGCGGTGAAGCAAAACAATAGTTGTACTGCACTCTGCTTCAACGTCTATACCCCCCCCCCCCCCCCCCCCGCTTTCACCAAGCTGCGCTGAAGGACGGCCAGACAACCACCACGACGTGGGGGCATGGGGGGGCCGACGAGGACATTCATCCAGCGGTGGATCAATCATGTGGACCCACCGCTGGATGAATTGGACACAGTCGAGACGACGCTGCGTGTATTTAATACGCCGCACGTGTTGCGGTATGTAAACTGTGCAGAGGAAGAGCAGGCAGGCAACAGCATTACGCCGGGTGATTACAAATTCTCCCTGCCTCCTCACGTGCCTAGTAAGTCGCGCAACGGCAGCGTTGTTCATCATATCACCCGCGATAACATCACTAATAACAGACGCACTCCAAACCTCATCTCTATATCCGCCCCCAACCCCCAGCCCATCCGCCTTCATATTCCTTGATGATTGCTACATCGCAAGCCTCCGACCGTCAGAGATGGCGACGAATTTGGGGGGTGGGGGAGGGAGGCCTCTATCCAGCAGTGGATTGATCATGGCTAATGATGATGACTGCTAAAAGCGCAGAGACCCGTGTCTATGATTCTCCGTTATTAAAACGTCCGGCGTTTAATGTTATTTGGTTAATTACAGTGCAATGTTTAGGCATTATACCCCCATCATACAGTCTTGCATGGACTGTAGAAATATCCAGTTCAGCACCACGCTAATAATTACACGCGCTGGCACGCGTCAATTTGCACACACGAATCATTGCTCTGATGCGGTTTTATTGTGTTGTTTTATTGTAAGCATGCCTCCTTCCCGCACCTTTACCCAGATGCCCACGTTAATCAGGAATCAATACAGACCCATTAAATCCGGGACAAAATGATAAACCGGCCAGACACACGCGCGCGCACGCAATTGGTCTGCGTAACGCAAGCGAGTATTTCCGTGTCTGCTCCAGTGAAACACGCTCTATCCACTGCTATGTCGGGAAGCAATTGCTCGGCGCGGATGATGTAGCATTACATCGTTTTTTTTTAGACATCGGCACCACGACCATCATCATCATCAATGGTCAAGCCACTGCAAGCCTTCCCGAAACCGTGAAACCCTCACGATCGGTCCTGCGCTGTCGTGAAATAATCCCGTCCAGCAAACCGGCACGCGAGCTGATTGCATCGCTCCATCTCCCCGGCGGACGGAACGCGTAATACAGAAATGTGGCGGTGGAAAAATAGCGTGGGTTAGAACCCAGCGCGCGCACACGCACGCCATAGCGATGTTCTGATTGCAATAGAGACGGAATAGACGATGAGAGACGCGGATGGCACGTTACCTGCAGTCGGACTCTCTTGCGCGAGTTGCTCCTTGCCTCTGGAGCATCCAGCTAGTGAGCTACTCGACCTGGCGCATTCCCTGCGTCCACATTTTTTTGTTACAATTATTTCATTTATTCTTAATACGACACGAGACGTGGATTGCAGTTCATATTTTGATCTCCTCCTTTTCCTCGACTTGTTTTCGTCGTCGTTTTGTCTTCGTCTAATTATTGTTCTTTATTAGTTATTTTAATCGCCGTATTATGTGAGCAGTCCACCGAGGCGCATCTGTAAACGTCTCATTTTCATCGCGCATTAAATCCGTGAGCTCAAAGACCACTGAGCCTAATGCATCGTAATTCTAAATAATAATAACTACATAAATACAAGAAATAATCTACATTTGAAAATTCCGCAAAATAAAAATATATTAATCAAATATATATATATATAAATAAATAAGTCACGTGCCAAAACAATATCATATCAAAGCCAAAACCCGGGGCTGTGGTAGCAAAGATTTTTCAAAAAGTGACATTTTGCTTTCTTCTAGCCAATACGCTGATTTAATTAAACAACAACAACAAACGAAAGAAAAAAAGATGCGATTATTTTGAGCTTGTATTTTTAGCTATCTGGCTGGGCTTGTCCAGTCCAATGGGCTCGCTAGCTCTCTGGCTCCCTGGCTCGCTCGCTCGCTCGCTCGTGCTATGAGGCAGTCGCAGCAGCAGCAGCAACTCGTTGCTTTATCAGCCGGCAGAGACGCGAGGATGCTCTCGGCACGCACGCAATGACACGTCTGCGCGCAGCGCGTGGATTGCAGAGTGACGCGCGCACCAACTCCGCCTACCACCACCAGCACTGCCGTTCTCCTCCAGCTCTCTGCGCCGTACACACTTCATCTGCTCATTGCCCTCATTGCTCTCGCTGCTGACACTATCACCATCATTATCATCACCGCCCTCATCAATGCTGCCACCACCACCACCGTCATCTTCATCATGACCACCACTTCTATTATCCAGATGTCTTCGCTGTAACAATCCCACTCTTCTTACCACACTCATCACTGATATTATCGTCATTATCAACGTCATCATCACGATCACCACCACTTATATTCTCCATATATCTTCCCTGCAGAGACTCCTCTTCATCACTAATATTCGCATTATTATTATTATCATCATCATCATCAACACCAACATTTATCTTATCGCGCTCGATCCTTAATTCATCACTCATGCAATCACCATCATCACTATCACCACTTTCATTCTCATGCAGTCCCCCGTGCACATACCACACTTCTTACTGCTGCAATAATCGCCATCACCACCACCATCGTCAGCGCCATCACTGTCATCGTTACCAAATATCATGCAAAAAAACAATCACCGCCTTTGCTATTGCGCTATCTTCCTTGCGAATTCCTCTCTCCCCACCACAATCACCACCAATCCATCATCCTCATCATCATCATCATCGCTACCATGATCGTCAATACCACCGCTTCTAATTCTAGTGCTTTCCCATACTCATTACCAAGATTATCATCACCACCAAATCACCACCACCAGTTGTAAACTTACTTTGCCCTCCATGCCCACCACCACCTCCGCATCTATCTGCACTACATAGCAGCACCTCTCCCCACACTCACAACCACCTCTCGTCTCCCTTTGTTCCACGAACAATATTCATCACCTCCCACTGCCACAGACGCCGTACAAGCAAATCTGCAATATATAATAAAATGGCTCTCATGTACAAGCGTGGGCAGAAAATATTGATTCATTAATGTGTTCACCCTTAACACGTTACTATTCTATATTCCTCATCAACTGTGGTCCATCTACTGCTGGATGAAGGCCTCCTTCATCCAGCAGTAGATGAACTGATCCCATGGCTCCATCTCCGTGGTGGTCGACCCTCTCGGCTGCGCTCCATCGTTTTGGCTGCCATTCCATCACCAGTCTCGCCCATCGGCCGCCAGTCATCCCTCCCAGCCATGATGTGTCCATGGTACTTCCTCAACCCAATTGTTTGTTTAATTGACTTCCTTTAAATTAACCTTGCGTATAACACAAGAGGGAACACGTCCGAGATGACGTCAAAGGATCTTCTCGTTATTCGCGGTTTTGGCTATCCGCTAATCTTAACAGGAACGCTACACGAATGCATCGAGAGAGAAAATAAAGCGATGAGATAAAGTGATGAGACAGAATGTGATGCGAGAAAGTAATTATATTATTATAATTGTCATGCATTTAATAGCTCATTTACATATGCATTTGAGGTACTTAATTTTCCTAGGCCGATATAATTATCCGCGAAATTTTGACATTCACGGGCATCTCCGTAACGTATCCATCGCGAATAACGAGGTAACCATGTACACACCGTGGAGACAGAGTATACGAAATTAGCTCGTGTACAGGAACGTGGATTGTGAGATTGCGAGGCCGTGATGGGGGGGGGCGGCGGGGGGGGGGGTGCTTCATCCAGCAGTGGATAAAACATGGTTGATAGTGACTATGAATTCAAACACGGCCGGAGCTTCCGCGGATGAACGCACACGCGATTATGAGGCCACTGCAATATCCCGGCAAAAAAAAAAAACCTACACATCTTACGCAGTAGGGATGAATCGACTCGTCCATTCAGCGTTGCATGCGTGCATTTTCACACTTGCGGCAGAATTAAACGAGCGGTTGGTTAATAAGCTGAACGCGAGTGGCTGGCGTGGCGGGGCCCACATCTCTAGAATACAAACCGCTCGGGAAAGAAGATAGCCCACAAAGCGCTTCGCTCACATTCCAATTTCACGCCGCTTACATATTCGCATCATCTGCTATCATTATTATTATTACCACTACACGCGTGTAATCACAATGTGCATTAATTCTAGAGGCGTCGCCAGCAATAAATTTGTATAATTATTCTTGTATTTTTTTTCTTTGCTGCTTGCTGATTTCTGCTGCCGCCACAGTGACCGTACTGGTTATCGCATTGGACTTGTGATCCCAGATGTCGTCGGTTGGATTCCATCTCCCGGCTCGGTATCGTTAAAGCGACGCGCCGACGATTCGTCGGGGAAGCCTCGTGTCGAGCACCAGCCGCTCTGGCGTTTTGTTGATTTGGGGGGGGGGGGGCGACTCCCACGGCTCCCACCCCTCAATTCCTCCGACATAGAAACCAGGGACTCCCCACCCCCCAGATGTTAAACCCCCGTCCCCCCTTTTACCCCCCCCCCCTTTAACTTTCTCATACATAATCTTGATTTCTCATACATATCCACAACGAATGTTGTACCGGCCGCGATGTTCCCATGTAAATGAGACAACCGTTTCTCCTTCCCCACCACTACCCTTCCACGGGTTGTCTGTCCACAAACTCCCCCCTCCCCCCCGCCCATCAATCAGGACGCATCGAATGCGTGGGGCTTGGTAGATATATTCACGTGGGGTTGTTTTTTGTCGACCAACGTTCCGCAGCGGGGCCTTTTGTCCCCATGTACAGCAATCATCTAATATAAATATACACGTATTTTAAATGCGCCCAATGATGCTAGTTTTTTTGTTTTAATCCTACCGCCTATGTCCACCCAGCAGTATAGAGTAACATCGGTTGCGCGTAGTGGGGTAAAGCGTGGGTACTCCCATTTCGTCAACGGTGTCTGGCGAGCGTGGAAGAGCTGGACAGAATGCTCACTGGTTCCCTTTGGTGTCGGCCCTTCCGCCAGCAGTGGCGCGAACAAGCAAACTGCAGGGCTGCGCCTTTATCTCTTTTTATCGTTAAACCGTACCGTATATGCAATTTTTTTTAAATCTGCTATTTTTGATACTGGTATACGTTGTGGGCAGCAGAGGGCAATGCAGCAAAATCGAATGTTGCATTGCACTTTTACGTATTTCACGTCTGCGCTCTCCCGCCTGTACAAACCCGCACTGACTAGCGTGGTGAAGTATGGCAAAGTAACCCCCAGGACCCTCATTTGGCAGTGGACAGATAATGGGGTGTACATCGGAACACGCGTGCACATATTTGTAGCAGGCGCTGAGCTACAACCCGGCGACCTCAGTTCGATTTTCTGCTCACGGCCAACACCATTGACGATTATTTGAACCAGTCATGGGCATCCCCTAGGTCGACTCAGCCTCAAATGAGTATCTGGCGACGTGCATGACGCCTATAGGCGTGATGCCGGCCGCCCATCCCTTCGTGTGCCATGCCAACCTTCATAGGCGCTAGCTAACAGCACTCGCCCCAAAACTCTGTTAAGCCTATACGGGGGATCTTTGTATTTATCCTTGTGTACTGTACATATATTTACATCAATATCCGGCAGCATCTAACAATACGTGGAGCCGGCCCTGGGCGTTCCCCTTTTATCAAACGGCACCAACCTCCGTGGTGAAGTATGGTCAAACAAACTCTTTGTTTTTTTCGGTAAAGTCACGTAGGTACCGAAAAAAACAAAGAGTATGAATCCTTGCAGTCACGAAAGCTTCAAATTTACAATTATGGTCAAACAACATCATGACCGACGAGGCACGGGGAAGCCTTCACAGGGCTACACATGAGCACTGTCACACGCCACGTGAAGATAACCACACATAGAGTGATCAACCAGATATCAAAATAAAAGTTTGCTTTCAAGTCTCAAAATAAACATGAGATATGCAGCAGTGGATTGCTAATGAATAGATACTTCACTCCGTATGGATTGTAAAATCGTTCAGCATCTTGTACGTGTTCATGAGTTAATTATGCAAACAATCAAGAGTCGGCCTGCTCAGTGATTCCTTGTTCATCAGAAATCAATGAGATAACCCGTCTTTAAATACATTTTTTTTAACTTAAAATGCATCAACAAATTGATGATTAATTGATCCTTCGGAAATTGTTTCACATAAAAAAAAGACAAAGCATGTTCCCATTGCGTTGAATTATTCATGTAAGGCACGTGGTCCACGTAATTATTAATTATAGCTAGTCTGAGCTTTTCAATCACAAATAAACTTGAGAAACAATATGTTGTTGATTGATTAATCCATAGTGACCTTTTCAATATTTAATACGTTGCAAGACATTCTTGATTAATTAAAGCTCGCGGCGTTACACTGCGGTCTCGGTAAACACAAAACATTTATTCACTGGTTACAACCAAGTTTCAACGTTGGCTTAACGTTGAATGTTCACCGTGGTAGTCAGCGTATTGCTCCGTGAACCCGTTGTTGCTTATCTTGGACCTTTCCGCGGTGGCGAGATGTTAAATATACCTCGCCTGATATGCAGGGGGTCGTGGATTCGATCCCGACCCTGACGTCTGCTGTATATTTGGAGTCTGCGTGTCTCTCTCCTGCGTTGTCGCGTGGATTTTTCTCCGGGTCCTCCGCTTGTTTTCCTTCCACGTGAGCAATCATTTGTTACCAGGTCGCTTCTGACAAAGAGCTCTATCGCTCAAGTTGGGGCCTTACCTGGTAATCTACGCCTCTATATAAGGAACCAAACAAGTGGACTTCTCCACATATCTGGCTGTCGCCTGATGACGCTAGTTGTAATTACTGGCGAAACGTCGTACTCAGATTGTAAATGTTGTGGCTTGGCTCTCCAACACACCGGTGTTGCTGTACTAGTGACGAATTGGCGTGTTCTGTTTACGTGACAACCCTTACGAGTTGGCTGTGTCGGGTGGTGGCGGGTTTAATAACACATTTATATATTTACGCGATCTAACCCAAAAAAAACCCTCTATTATAGATGATATTTGTCGCTTAAGCCTGCTACGTGTTGCTGCTACTTGTTAAGTGTGTCGTTTATTTCCCAGGACACGGTGAACATCCGGGGCGAGTGAAATTTTCACCGGTACCGTCCTTTGCACCATCCGCTTA